ATAGTCAATGTATGTATATAATATATATGTGTATATATATATTATATATATATATCATAGAATAATATCTCTATGTGTGTTGTATGTATTTACAGAGCCTCGCTTTCTCCTTTTTTTTTATTATTGTTTGTATAGTACACACGTGTTCGCTTTCATTCTCTTTCTTCTCTCTGTATATGTATATATATATAATATATATATAATGCGTGTAATATTTATATATATATACATATATATTTATATCTTGCGTTATATACTAAACTATTAAAATACTAGTATAAATATCTCTTGACATATAATATATATATACTTTTTCATATATATATAATATGTATATATATATATATTTTTATTCATTTATTTATAGTGTAGCGTGATTAGCGGAGCCGAAGAAACGGTGTCAATTTCATTCGGTTATTACTCTCTTTCATCCCTCTCTCGCTCTCTCTCACTCTCTCATTCTCTCTCACTCTCTCACTCTCTCTCACTCTCTCTCTCTCTCTCTCTCTTGCTCTCTATCCTCGCACAAAAACGATATAATTGTATAATATACGCAGTGCGATGTCATTCCAACGTCTCCGCGAGGTTTTTCTTCATCGTCCCCTAACTCCGTTCATACAGCCGCCGTCTCATCAAAGTCTTTCTTTCTCTTTCCGTACGCTTTTTCTCTTCTTTTCTCCCCTCCATCTCTCTCTCTCTCTCACTCCCGCTCTCTTTGTTTATACAATTATTGCTATTGGATTCATTGCATAGTAGGTTCTCCCGTGTGAACTGATATTATTTATTCGCTTATTATGCTTCTTTATTTTTTTTTATATTTTCCCACTCGCTCGCGTGCATCCCCCTCGCGTTTTCTTCTAACTCGATTAACCGGCCTACGCTTTCTATCCACGATTCGCCGCGAGAATCGCGACCGTGAACGCGATTCATTATTACAGAAGAGAAGATGTCGAGTCCTTTTTTGCCCGGCCTCGAGAGCCCGTCTCTTTCCATTTCTTTGCACAATCACGCCACTTCTTTGACCCTCCCAGAAACGAAGGGAGCGCCGTCTTCCTGGTGCGCCTGCCGGGAAGAGGCTCGCTGGAAAATAATTCCTTTGGTAATCGCTATTCATAACAAATATATATATGTATACATTGTGATAATTATGCACCGAGTGACAGGTCGCGTGCTCCACCGAGCACGCGAGACAACTCCCTTCGCTCCGCGGAGCAACGCGGGGCTAATAATCTCGGAAGAATTTCGCGTTCACGCTTTTTGTACTTCGTGTCTCTCTCTCTCTCTCTCTCTCTCTCTCGCTCGCTCTTCGGCCATCGTTTGCTTCATTTCATTCTTCCGTCGCCGATCGTTCGCCGACGAACAATCGATCGAACATCATCGATGCACACGCGCGTCTCAACGAAAAACACATGCTTGTGGTCCCGGTAAAACGAAGATTGTGGAGCTCGGCGTGGGACCAGATCCGCCGCGTGATCAACGCAATTCATTCCGCGCGGCGTGTTTCCGGCTGTTTCCGGAACATCGACGTTTCTTATTTGTGCATGGAAAACGAACGTGCGCGAGAAGAGGGTCAAACAAGCGTGGACGGGATGTTCCGCTCCCCGTTCCGTTTCTCGCGATTGTTGAGCACCAAGTACGTATTAACAATTATCTACGCCGTCGTCCCTGAAATCCGCTAAATAAAATTTCTCGATAAATACATACGTCGTCTAATAAAATCACATTTCTCGCTCGGCCGGGTATCGCGTATCCTCCGCCGCGGTCCTCCGCCGACAATCAATATCGCAGAGACCGCGTCCGACCGCGTTCCGCACGCTTCAGGATCGTCGATCGCGTGCCGTTCGTCTTCTTCCAGCTTTCGTTCTGTTTCTTTTTTCTCTTTTTTTCGACAGCGGTCGCGCGACCGCATTCAAACTGCAACGCCTCCCGCGCGCTGTTTCCCGCGCGGGATCAAACTTTCAGCCGTATTGTCCGCATTATCGTTCGTCCGGCTCGTCCCGGATCGCGCGGAGCCGGATCGCGCTTTGCAATATTAATTATCGTAATTCGCGAGAACGTTCGCTGCGCGCGCGCGACGCCGATCTCGCGAATAATTCACTCGATCCGGGAACAACGGTGTCGACAGAGCTCGCCGGTGCCGCGACGATCTTCCACCGTTTGCAATCCCTGCGCGATATTTCGATAAACGATCGATCGTTTATCGCCGACCTGTTAACCCGTTCGTTCGTGTTCGAACCGAGCGCGCGCGCCGATTCGAACGCGACTCGGCTTCCTCGGAGAAATCGAAGAAAGGCCCGGCGAACGGCATCGTCCGCGTCCACCTGTCGGACC